CATGGAAATGCAAACAATATCTGATTTTAAGACTTATTATAAAACTACAGTAATCAAGATGGCATGCAGCTAGTGTAAAAATAGACAGATCAATAAAACCAAATAGACAGGCCAGGAACAGAATGACATTCATACAGTCAATTGGTTTTTTTATAGAGGCACCAAAACTACTCAGAAGGAAATGAAACTCTTATGAAAAAAAAAGTGTGTGACCTCCATATGAGGGCAAATGAGCCACAGCTCATACCTCTTACTACAAATAAAAATTCATCTGAACTGCATAATAGATATAAGAGTTGCCTCTATAAGTGCAAAATTAAAACCATAATAAGATGTAATAACACAGCCACCAGTGTGACTAAAATGAAAAATACTAACTGTAGGTGGCTTTATGGACAAATGGAACACTCACAAGCTGTCAGCAAGAATATAAAATGATACATTACCTTGGAAAAGTTTTAAAAGTTATTTGAGATTTTGTTTTACTGTCTAAGATTTTAAAAACTCACTGCCACTGAGCCAATTCCAACTCATAACCACCTTCAGGACGGGGTAACTGCCCCGTGGGTTCTAAGATGGGAGGGCTTTCTTTCTCCTGAGGGGTGGCTGGTGATTTTGAACTGCCAAATTTAAGGTCAGCAGCTTAACACATAACCCACAACACCACCAAGGATCCTTTGATAGAGCTAAAACACCGTATATACTGCAGTATAAGCCGACCAAATATCAGCCAAGACGCCTAATTTTACCACAGAAACTGCATTAAAAATGTGCTGAAAACTCAAGTATATACACTTATACACGAGTATATACGGTAAAACAGTGTTATACTTTCTCCCAAAGATCCAGACAGACATCTATCCCTATGATGAGGTAGGTTCCACTACTCGGTATTGACTTAACAGAAATGAATACATAAATCCTCTAAATTACTTGTAAAGAAATAATGTGTGCTGCAGACCTTTGGGTCTATTCTAACTCATAAGGACCCTATTATCCCATCGCCTCACTGACTGGGTTTGAACCACGGATCTTTTCATTAAATGTTTTCATGAATCGAATTACTTTTGTGGTAGGAAATATTATAATAATGATTATAAAATTACTCTTTCTGAAATGTTTGAGAATTCTCATAATAATATGTAGGTAAATCTGAAGCAGTGATTAGAGGATAATTCATAGCTTTCTGTAATTCTATTATTTGAATAGAATTAAGTATAAATTAAATTACCAGCTCAAAATGTTAGAAAAATAATGAAGTAAACAACAACAAAATAGAAAAGCACAGAGCAGAAAGTAAGATAAAAAGAGGATATAGTAGATAACAGAAAAATAGAAGATGTAATGCTAAATTCAAATCAATATTCTTAAATTAACTAACTAGACAAACTGGTAGCTAACTTAACTAAATATAAAGGAGACAGTACAAAAACAAAATATAAAAATTAAATTTTTAAATATTTTTAAGATAATGACAAGGAAAAAATAAACAAAATAGAAGAAAAAAATTCCAATCCTAAGAAATTATTTTGCATATCTCTAGGAGTCCCTGGGTGACACAAATGATTAAGTGGGGCATACCAACCCCAAAGTTATCAGTCCAAAACCACCCAGCAATGCCTCAGAAGTAAAGCCTGGTATTCGGAAAGGTGACAACCGTGAAACTCCAATGGGGCAGTTTCCACTATGCATACTCGAGTTGTACTCAACTCAACAGCAATTCACAACAGTGGGCAAGTACATGTAAAACTCTACATGAAAAAATGTATACTTAACAAGAATACCAGAGGAGATCTGGTGGCAACAGTGCATTGGGCTTCTGACCCCAAGGTCAGCAGTTGAAAACCACCAGCCACAACCCAGGAGAACGATGTGGCTTTCTTCTTCCGCACGGAATTGCAGTCAGAAAGCCAGAGGCAGCTCTACTCTGCACTTCAGGGTCTCGGTGGGTCAAAATTGACTTGATGGCAGTGAGTTTGGTTTTAGACGAATACTATAAGCAACATCCAAAGGCAACTGAAAACTGGAGAAGATATTTACAATATGTATGACTGTCACAGATAAGGGGATAATACGACTGATAAGTAACTAAAAAAATGAAGAAAAAGAGACCTACATCTCAAAAGGCATGAACAGAAAATTCACACACAGAGCGAGAGCGAGAGCGAGAGCAAGAACGCGCACACGTGGCCTTAGAATGTGAAAATACTCAATCTCACTGAGGATAAAAGAAATGAAAATTAAAATGATGCTGACATGTCATTTAGTACCTATCAGATTGTCAGACATTTAAAAATATGATAATGCATTCTGTTGGTGAGGCTGTTGGAAAACAGGATTCTCATAAATTGCTTAAAGGAATTTTGCAATTTCTATCTCCAAACTAAAACTTATTTAGCTTTTCAGCTAGCTAAGTGAATCCTGTTTGTAAGTATACATGCCGAAATATTTATACCTTCAAAATACAACAATATCATGACACCAAGTTATTCATGGCGGCATATTTTTAACTGTAAAGTATTGGCAAGATCCTAGATATCCAAACATAGGAGAATGGGTAAAGAAACGATGATACATCCACACAACACAGAACTAAGCAGCACTTTAAAAAAAATAGTACTATCTCTATGAATTCACATGGTTTCCACTAGCAGTCAACACAGAACAAAGTGCGAGAATATCTAGATGCTATCATCGGGCTTCCTAAGGTGAAAAATCCGTGGGAAAAAAGACAATGACGCTCAACATGATGAACTGATGTAGTGGCTGCAACAATGGCCTCCAACTAGGAGACAGAGACGAGAATGGGGCAGGAGCGGGCAGTTTCATTCTGTTGCAGACTGGATCGCCGTAACTCAGAACCAATGTGAAAGCACTTAACTCTGCGTGTGCACATGTGTGGCAACTCGACCCCTGCGTGCAGAATGAACTAGTCCACAGGAGTGTCAAGGCTGTGACTTTTGGGAAACGAATCACCAGACTTACCGTCCTAGATACTCTAGGTGGTTTCAAGCCGGCAGTCTTTGCAATCAGTGTTTGAAAGCACTTGACTGTGCCAGAGGACTCCATTTATGTTACAGATGTAACCTAATTTTTTTTCTTAAAAGAAAAACAAACTAATTTTTAAAAATTTTAACCGAAGAGGCAGTTGCCTACCAGATAGCAACATAGAAAGTTGGACAGAGTGTGATATATTAATATTTCAAAAACTGTACCGAAGAAAAGATAAAATCAAAATATGTTTAGGGGGAAGAAAATTAACACGATGTGCAGAAATAGACACATACATCAAATTATTTTTAAAAGTTTAATTTAGCCATACTGAAAGAACAGGGAGGGATTGATAGCAAAGTAAGGTTAAAAAATTTTTTTTCTTGACAAGGGAACAATTGAACTATAATCAATAGAAGGAAGGTCGTAGGATGCCTAGTGGGGCTTAATCAAGGGCAATGTAGCAACAAGGAATTACTAAACCTGAATGAAGGCCGAACATGATAGTGGGACAAGAGGAAAGTAAAAAGAAATAGAGGAAACAACTAGGAGGCAAAGGACATTTATAGAGGCCTAAATACAGGCATTTACATATGTGAATACATACATAACAAGAGGTGACTAGAACTATGTACTCATATCTATATGTTAAGAATTAAAGTTGCAGATGGACATTGGGCCTCATCTCAAGTACTCTCTCAAAACAAGAACACTTTGTTCCAACAATCCGGCATTCTGTGATGCTCACCTTCCCAACACAATCGCTGAAGACAAAATGGGTGCATAAGCAAATGTGTAGAAAGCTGATGGTGGCTGGCTATCAAAAGATACAGCGTCTGGGCTCTTAAAGGTTTGAAGATAAGCAAGCGGCCATCTAGCTCAGAAGCAACAAAGCCCACATGGAAGAAGCACACCAGCCTGTGTGATCATGAGGTGTCAATGGGATCATGTATCAGGCATCTAAGACCCAGAACAAAACCATACCCAAGGTGAATGGGGGTGGGGAAGGTGGGGGTGGAGTGGAGACCCAATGCTCACCTGTAGACAATTGGACATCCCCTCACAAAGTGGTCACAGGGAAGAGATGAGCCAGTCAGGGTACAGTACAGCACTGATGAAACACACAACTGAGTTCTTTGGTGCTTCCTTCACCCCACTATCATGACCTCAATTCTACCTTACAAATCAGGATTAGACCAGAAGATGCACACTGCTACAGATAAAAACCCACAACACAGGGAATCCAGGATAGACAAACCACTCGGGGCCAACAATGAGAGTAGAGATACCAGTAGGATTTGGGGATAGTGGGGGCAGAGGAGGACTTGATCACAAGGATCAATCTAGAACCCCCTCCTAGGGGGACGAAAAATGGAAAAGTGGGTGAGGGGTGACGGAGGACAATGTAAGACATGGAAATAATAATCTAGAACTTATCAAGGGTTCGTGAGGGAAGGTGAGTGGAGGAGGGAAGGGGAAGAAATGGGTAGCTGATATCAGGGGCTCAAGTGGGAAGGGAATGCTTTGAAAATGACCGATGGCAGCATATGTACAAATGTGTTTGACACACTGGATGCATGTAAGGATTGTGAAAAGAGATGTAAGAGCCCCCAATAAAAGTATTTTTTTAATTTTTTTAATTTTATTTAAATACAATTCCCATTACATAAATTAACTTCTGCTTCCACCCTAGTGAAATAATTCCACTATTATGTGAAAAAACCCAGCCTAGCCTACTGGCGGATGAGAAACCATGTACAGAAGAACAGAGGCACCCTGGCGGTAGGTAGCCAGCACCAACCACCAAAGGCCAGATAGATGACTGAGGGCACACTGGGTCATCCAGTTCCAGTGAAGGTGTCATCAATGAGTAGCCCATGTGAGATGAGCAGAACTGCTAACTGAACAGTGTCAAAACTGCAACACCATGAAAAACCAAATTATTATTGCTTTCAGCCACTAGACTTCAGGATAGTCTGTTATAGCCACAAATATCTGATATAGCATACCTTCTTGTTCTGCTTTTTGACCTAGACCTCTGAACTCTGTAGGATTTCCCTCGACCCCTTGATCGACTTCGACTTCGCTTTCTTCTTGAGCCATAAGATGAGCTACTGCTTGACCGATGCCTGCGTCTGAAATAAGATATAATCAAATTGCATTGCTTTAAATTGTTTTTATTATGGACATTGCAGAGAAATCTTCTAGATTTTGAAAGAATCATCTCATTTTTACTATGTAGCGAAGGTGATTATAGTTCATTTCTCTCCTGCCTTGAAGCAAATAGAAATAAATGCAAATACTAATTTTCTTGAATATTCAGATTTGACTGATTCACAATTTAGCAATGAATACACTGCTAATCAAGGCATTATGGATTTCAACTCATCTACAGTACTAAATTTATCAACTATTACAGGATGAGAGCTAAATCAGTTTATATCCACGACTGAAAAGAATAAACAAAGGCCACTAAGCACCCAGGGTGTGGTTGTTGAGTGCCACAGTTGATTTCAATTCATTCATGACCCAAAGTAACAGAGTAGAACAGTCCCCACAGGAATCTATAGGCTGCAGCTCTTACAGAAGCAGATTGTCAGGTTTTCTCTCCTAAGAACTACTGGGTAGGTTCAAACTACCAATCTGTGGGTTAGCGACTGAGAGCTTAACCTCTATACCACCAAGCCAGGCCAGGTGAAAACCCTCTGTTTGGGGACCTAATTCTTGTGAATATATAACTTGCTTTGAAAAAAAGTGTTTAATAAATGTCTTACCCAACAAACGTAAAAGTAAATATAAATATATATATTAATTCTAGCCAAAGAAATAAACTCACTGCCATGGAGTTGATTCTGACTCACAGAGACCCTGTAGAATAAAGCTGAACTGCCCCTTGGGTTTCTAAGACTAACTCTTTATGGGAATAGAAATCCTCACTTTCTCCCACATAACAGCTGGTGGTTTAGAACTGCTGACCTTGTGGTTAGCATCCCAACACGTAACCCACTATGCTACCAGGGCTACCCTATGAATAAATTAAAAAGTTTTTAAAAATCACCTTCTGTCATAAGAATGTGAACGAAACTGAAGATCTCTGGACCAAGATCTTGACTTTGACCTTGATTTCCTCCCACCTTTCTTCCGGCTATATGTTCTACTGTCTGAAGAACTACTTGAAGATGACCGTCTACGGTGCTTCTTTTTTCTCTTACTTCGGCTTTCTTCTTCAGTATCTGATGACCGGCGTCCCATTTCTATAAGCTTAAATTCAAAGAAAATTATTTGTAACATAATAGCTCAATGGAGAAATTTAATAAGGTGGGGTTTTAAAAATATATATATATTTAAAGTAAATTTTAAATGTGCCCAGCTTCTTGATAGGACATGAGAATAGCTCTAGTATAGGCTTTTCTGATATCAATGAACTGTACCTAGAATTTATGAACAATATAAATTTGCCCCCAATTTTCCCAAATTTCTCTCAAAAAGCCCATCTTTAGAAAGGCAAGAGAGCAGAATTGCTAACCTGACAGCACAGGGTATTAATTTTGGTGAAGAAAAAGTCGACACACAACATGAGGGAATGAAACACAATGTGACCAGGCAAAGGAAGACAAAGAAAGTCAGTAAAGAATAAAAGGCAACTTAAAGTAAATGCTATTAACATATAAAATCTTACAACAACAATAACAACAATCAATTTATAAGTACCGTAACTACAAATGTAAATATATACGCTAACTGGGTGAGAGAGGTACTCTGGTGGCACTGTCGGGAAAATGTTGGACTACTAATGGCAAGGATGGTGGCTCAAACTCATCTGCTCCTGTAAAGATTCATAGCCTCAGAACCCCTATATAGAGTTGCTATGAATCAGAATCAACTTGATGGCAAGTGGGTTTGGTTTCGGTTGAAAATATGTGAGGTAGGTCATGGGGGAGTACACCTAAGTACTTAGAAAGGTATGGTTGTGAGTATTTTACATACATATTTGTCAGATACTACATGTATACATACATGTATACATATACGGGAATATATGGTGGCACAGTTATGGAAACTACTTAGACACTGGGATTGAATTTCTGGACTTGAACACTTACTAGCATAGTTTTAGGGGAGAGCTCAGTCAACTGGCAAAGCACAGTTCATAAAGATAATGTTCTATATATATCCCAGTCTGGTGAACAGAATATAGGCTCTTAAGTGCTTGTGACTGGCCACTTCAGAAGAAACTACTGATCTCTCCCTGCCTGGAGCAAAGAAGAATGAGAAAACTAGACTCAAGAAAGCAATGAGTCCAAAGGACTATGGCTGACATGAACCACAGCTTCCTCTAAACTGAGACCAGAGGGACTAGATGGTGCCAGCTACTACCAACCATTCTGACCAGCACCACAATAGAAGGTCCTCGTTAGAATGGCTAAAAAATGTAGAACAAAATTCAAGTCTAAAAACAAGACTTACTAAGACAAGGACCACCAAAACTAGTGCCCTAAGATGGCCTACTAAACAGTGAAGCCATCTTTGGCCAAGTAACAGTCTGGTCTATAAAGGAAACAACACTGCAAGGCTGTACTCTTGGAACAATCGACACAGGAGACCGCAAAGGTAACATGTGCCACAAACCAAAGACAAGCCAGGGAAAGACATGGAAACCAGACAAATAGAAAAGAGTAATTCAAGGGAGAAGATGAAGAGGGTGGGGACACAGTGCAAAAATTGAAGCCAATGTTAATTTGTGCATGAATTAATAATTGAAACCTAATTTGCTATATGAATTTTCATCTAAAGTACAGTAAATCTTCTTTAGATTATGGTATATCTATACTACATACACACACACACACACACACACACACACACCAAATGTCAATCCTAAGGACAGTTCATTACAGTGTTCTTCTCTGTTAAATTTATTTTTCATTAATTGTACACATTAGGGATCAACTACCTATTCTTTCATTTTAATATTCCTGAAGATATTTCAGCATCTTAGAATTCTAGTTTTCTAGCTGAAAATTCTAAATTTCGAAGTACACATTGAAATAATGCACTATCATTGCTTGTGAAATTGGGGGCGGGTGGGGGAGGGGGGGAATGTTTCCAAGAACGGAATCGCAGATTTGACAAACATATTAAGTGTAATGAAGAGTACTTTGAAGGTGATAAGGTTGTTTTGTAAAATAAATTTTAATACATAGCTTTGAAAAAAATCTGGGTTTTTTGGACCATCTCATGCAGGGAAAGATCGTTTGGTGGGGGTTGGAGGCTCTGGCTAAAGACCTATATTAAATAATTCACTGCAGCATCACCCACTTTGGAAATACTGCTATAAATCTTTACAGAAGCAGGAAATCTCATCTTTCTCCCATGGTGAAACCAACTTCACCACAAGAGATCCTTTAAAAAAATAAGGAGCTCTTGCGACACTGCCAACTAGCCCTGATAGGTAGGTAAGGTAGGTGTTGGACGACTAACCATAGGTGTTTCAAACCCAACAGCCACTCCTTCAGGAGAAAGATGAGGCTATCTGCTATATTAAAGTTGTACAGCCTCAAAACCCTATGGGATCACTATACAATCTGAATCAACTGAATGATAGTGAGTATAAACAAATTAATAAGTTAGCTGACTGATTTGCTTTCAAAATCATGTAAGCCAACTCCTTCCTAATTCCAGTGCTAACAATCACTGTGAGTGCTTCAATTCAAAGCTTTAATCTATCTAAGACACCATATGAGACCAAGGGGCCAGCAAATGCCCTGAAACAAAACTCAGAGGCAGGAAGTGACAAGAAAGCTGGGTGAATGGGAACCAGGGAAGCCAGGGAGAAAGTGGTTAGAGTGCTATGACACTGAAGGATGACAATTCAGGGCATGACACAAAATGTGAATAAATTGTTAACTAGGATGCTAATCTGCTCTGGAAATTCTCACCAAAACCACAATAAATTTTTTTCTTTAATTTTAAGCTATTTAACCCTATAATGCCGAGCACGTTTTCATAACATTTAATTAAATGTATATATTAATATATATATTGATAACTATGAAAGTAAAGAACAAAAACAAAAAAAAATTTTCTGAAATTAAAAATTCAGGCGTTATAGGGTTAACTTAAATAGAACGAAAGACTTCAAATATAGTTCTGGACCTCCACGGTATTCATCTGGCTAACAAAGAAGCTTAGCAAAACATTGAGAAAGTTTTCTTTTGAAACTTTCAGTAAATCACAAAGGGATCTAAGTCAGTTTCTTACAATTGCCGGCTAGAAAAGATCACCATGATCCTTTGCAGCTTTAAAATACTCTGATTTTGAAATTATACGTGTATGTTTAATGTGCATACATGTACAATGTACTTGTGTGCATAATGTATGTATTTAATTAAACACACGGGTATATATAGTATGCACATGTGTATACACACGCAAAAGGAAGATTCAAAAATTTTTTTTTGAAAAGTCGAATTGAAAACTAATGAAATTTTCCCACGAACTTTTTGAAAAACCCCCATAGATCCATTTTTAAATATGTACACAATTATGGGTTAAACTAAGTTTTCTTACTTCTTGGCTTCTTTTCTGCTTTGCTGTAATATTTACACATGTAAGGAATTTTCCTATCCACAAAAAAGTTTTTATTACTTTGCTATTACCTGGTTTTTAAAATATACTAAAATAAAAGTAAAGGAATAAAGAAGTACATACAGTCACAAGGAGAGGGACTAGAAAACAACAGGACAGTAGACAAGATATGCCAACAAATCTTTAGCAAATGAAAAACGTGTGGAGGATTCAGAACTAGAAATGCTGAATATCAAGCAACTTCCCAGCATTCCTACTTGAAGAAAGTCAATTCACATACTAAAAATCAGGAAGGACCAGGAATTGGAGACACCAGCCATCCTAATAGGCCCAGTAAGGCATAGCACCATTGGTTGAAAATGGAAAAAGACTGAATCTTTGGCCCCCTGCCCCTACTACCTGGAGCAGAAGAGGAGGTCTATTTTAGAAAACCAGTAAACTGATGAAACACCAGGTTCAGGAATTCAGAAAAAAGAACAAAAAGAAAGCAAACAAAAGGTAAAAGGATTCAGAGAAAGTCTATGAACTGGGTGCTTAGGAAGGAACCTGAAAAATTCTTGGTCAACACCAAACAATACCTGAGACAGGATATCTAATATTCGCATGTGTGCCAATGAAAAAGCTAGGTCTTCACCCAGTCACCCTATAATGAAGCCCACCAATTGATAAGCCCAGATCTTAAATAGTTTCTGTAAGCCTGTGAATATGCAACAAATAACCTTACATGTGATGAAAGTCTTCCTCATAAATCAAGCAAACAAATCACAAAACAAGCCTCACAAATCAAGCAAACAAAACGAGCAACTCAGCATGCATTTGGAACATGCGGCAGAAAACTTTAAGGGGAAAAAAAAAATCACAGTAATATCCTGAGAAACACCTATGAAAAGACCATCAGGAATAATGTGAGCAACATGTAAAGAACACGAGAGAGAACTTAAATTAAAAAAAAATCATTTAAATTAAATCAATTAAATACAACAATCGTTTTGGAAGCTAAAAACACCACTCAAAGAGAGTAGACAAAAAGACAAAAGAAAAATAGGAGAAAAGAGAGGAACCACCTAAGAGACTCAACACCAAGGGGTTTGCATTTCACAAAAACAACAGAGAAAAGAGGAAGACAAATTTTTCAGAAAATAACTACCGCATAATGGGGAAAGATGGTTATCTTGAGAAAAAAAACATATCTGCAGTTGAACTGCAGGCTAAACTAGCTGCTATTATCATGGGACACTATTTATACTTCAAAGAACTGACCAACTATGATTATTCAGACTTCAGTATTTGCCAGATATTTCCTCAAAATGAAAGGACTCTTTTTAAAGAAAGCTGACAGCTTTGGTGTCAATGATAAAAGTAAAGCTTTCAAACAAAAATTAGAGTTTTGGATAACTTCTATCTACCGTGACAGATTACCAAGATTTCAAGACTTCTCTAATAAAATCAATAGTGATATTAACAAATATGAGTCTTTGATATTATAAAATAAAGGGTGTCAACAATTAGAAGACATAAATAACTCCAATATTTTCCAATTGGCCAATGTACAATATCACAAACACTTGCGTTAGAAAATATACATGAAGAGTGCAAGACAGACCAATGAATTATGTAATAGAGTGTGAAAAGATGTGTTACTAATCTGTTAAACAATTAATAGCAAACCAATC